AATGCACAGGTGATCAAATACCACCAAAAGAAAGTTATTTGTGGAAATATGTGGGAATAAAGTGACAAATTTAATTTATGTACAGTGTTGCATGAATGCGCAATTATCAGTTAAAGTAACGCAGCGCCATATCACAAAAAAATGGCCAGGTCAGGAAAGGGGGGGGGGGGGGGGGGGGGGGGGGGGGAGTAAATTCTTTGGAGGGCAAGTGGTTAATAACACCACTTGAGCCATCATAGGAGCTGTTACACTAATGCTCTTTATAAATGAAGGGCATTACAGAGTAGCTTTACTTTGAGATTTAAAGAGTACAAGAGTGACATTCAAATATTCAGCCCTCACTATAACTTGTATTCGTCAAACCATGGGGCAGGGTAGAAAGGGGTAGGTAAGGAAAAGCTGATGAAAAAGAAGGGTAAGAACATAGGGTAGGGTTGGATAGGGGTGGGAGAAGGGACAGTGGGAGAAAAGAATAAAGCAACCAGTAAACCAGTCAGATCCAAACATACGTATGTTTCAACCATTAATGCATTTTTAAAAGTATTACTTTTTCCATGGTTCAGTGCATTTTTGCTGCCAATTCAAACTAATGGGCTGTCAAACTACACAGAACGGTAACGGACAATCCTGTTGAGAACAGGCCCTAAATGAGAAGTGTGGGAATAGTTAAAAAAAAAAAAAAAAAAAAAAAGCCAAAAAAAAAAAAAACCCGCTACACTTGCCTCTCAATTGTAGCATCTGTCCCCCACCAGCTTTTGAGAACTGAGCAATCACACAACCGCTGATAGCTCAGTTCTCGTTCCACCTAAGCAGAGAGCGTTGACCCACTCTATGCTCAGCCCCTGGACAGTCCACTGAATCCCTGGGCTAGGGATAGGTCAGGAGCAGCTGACTCAGGTTCTCAATGGCACGCTGAAAGGCTGAGCAAGCTGTCAGGCATCTGGGTGGATCCCGGCATTAATGTGATACTAAAGGTAAAACACAACAAAACAGGTCATACTTACCATACTGCTTGCTCGGGGGCACTCATGTATGCTCGTTCCTGAGCTGTCTGAGTATGCACAAAAAATGCAGAGTGCAGCTCAGCCCCACCCCCTCCTCACTGGCTGTGTCTCAACCAATGAGGAGCGAGAGTCGCTGACATTGTGCACATTGCTGGATCAAAATTAAGCTCAGGTAAGTATGGGAGGAGGGGCTAGCTGCACACTGAAGGTCCTTTTTTTTTTACCTTCATGAATAGAATGCATGAAGATAAAAAAAAAAAAAAAAAACCTTAAGACCTTAGAACCACTTTAATATTGGGATCCTTCCAGAGTTTGGACCAGCTCTGTGACTTAAGCCATCCACAGGCTTTAGCCCACTGTCAGCTGATTCTAAGTAAAATTAAGTGTCTTCCTGTGATCCAGAAGAGAAGAATGGCCTAAAAAAAAAAAAAAAAAATCCTTAGCCATACTTTTTAGGGTCAGTTCACACTATAGAAACGCAGTCCCGATGTGTTCGGGGTGAGTTTCCGCATGTGCATATTTGATGCGCTTTTGAGGTGTTTCAGTGCGTTATTGAGTTTGACACATTCCATTGCAGTTTTTTTTTATGCATTCCAGTTCATTTTTCCCCTTTCTTTAATTTAATTAGGGGTATGTGCATTCCAGTGCATTTTGATGGGTTCCATTGCATTTTACCGTGTTCCAGTGCAGTTCCGTGCAGAAAAAAAAGCAGCATGTTCTACTTTTTTTTTTTTCTGAAACTGGAACTGCAAGCACTGATGTGAACTATGACAACCCTATAACCTGCTTTCTGTGCATTTTGGATGCAGAAAAAGTAACAAACACTTGTATTGTGAACTGGCCCTAAGGGCTAGTTCACACTAGTTGCAGTTCAGTGCGCTTTGTTTCTGCATCAAAAATGCATGCAGTGTTTTCTATGTATTCCAATGGCCCTAGTTCACACTGGAACATAAACTGCACTGGAACGGAGTGTGGTGTAACTGGTAACCAAAAATGTATCCGGAGTGCATTTTGTGGTGTGAGCTGGCCCTTAACCCCTAGACACCGAGCCCACGCAAATATGCAGCCTCAGCGTCTGGGCCTTGACACCGAGCGGCCACATATTTGCATGCCATTAGAAAATACATATATGCTGACAGCACGCACCCTCAGCACATGTCTGTGACTCACGGAAAGGTTCCGATCTCCCTTTGCAATCGGGACCTTTTCCAACCATGTGACCGCCTTGACAGCAAATCACGGCGGTCACGACCCTAAAACCCCTCCCGCCTCCCAGCTTCTGAAACACTTTTTGGGCTGGGAGGCACCGGTGCAAAGGGGTTAAGCAAGTTGCAGCTAAGCACAGATATTGCTGCAACACTTCCTAGAAAAACATTAACCTCCCTAGTGGTATGATTATTTCAGATTTTTGGTGTTGAAAGCGGTACCATTGTTTGCATGGAAAAATGTACTTTTTTTATTGTAGGCCTGTAATTTGTAGGAATAACTCACTGAAATCTGTCCGAACAAAAGTCTAGTAAACATCCCGGGTATGATAAAACTTGAAACACGCAATCATACATTATAATTTAATAATTAATCAAAAAATAATATAATAAATTTAATTCAATAATTTAATCAAACCAAAAAAACACTGAAATTTGAAATAGAGCGCCAAGTTCGCACATCGCTGAGCAAAGTCGCAGAATCGTTTTCAGTGTCTGACAAATTTCCCCCATGAATCATTATCACTCAATTCTGCAAGTGGTTCTAATTTACTATCGCTGTTCTCTAGCCGGTCTAAAACCGCTTTTGACCTAAAAGGACGCTTTTTGGACGCCATGGACTTTTCTAAGTTTCCAGGCAGAAAGAACAATCAAAATGCAGGCAGGGCGCAGGACAAAGCACTCGGGACAAATTGTATGTGAAATGGTTTGAAACAGCAATGTTTTGCTATGTAATATTCATTTACAAAAAAAATGAGTTTTTAAAATGTTTAAAATTTGCCGCCGGTTCCGGCCCCCGTACGTTCTGACGTCACAGGGACCGGAACACGGAAGCCGGATGCCGGCATCGGCCGGAGGAGATGGCCAGGGACGCTGCAGGAGGGACATCGCGGGAGCGAAGGACAAGGCAAGCGCTGCAGGGAATCCCTGAGCAATGCCGCACGGTAAGCCCGAGCATAGCTCGGGTTACCGCTTTTGGTACTGAAACTCTATCCCGAGCTACACTCGGGAATACCGCCAGGGAGGTTAAAGTGTTTGTAAATGCTTATCTGCTCTGGGCGATGGTTTTGCATAGAGCAGCCCTGATCCCCCTTTTCTGGGGCCCCCCATAAGGTATCTGCTAGGGATGCACCGAAATTCTGGTGGCTAAAACATTTTGGCTGAAAACATCCCTATTGGCCTTTGGCTGATATGAAAATAAGCACCGATACAGGTGCTGAAAATCAGTCCATATATACACACAAGCGCATATACACCAACTCTTAATTGAGAAGGTCATGGCTGTCTGGTGAGTTCTCTGTGATGGTGCTGGTACACGCAGGCGGAGTGGAACACAAGAATCAGGAAGTGGTTGATTTTTGCATGAAGCATTTTAATTTACAGAAGTTTCATATCATTTCACTTTGTTGCACCTTATGGATGATGGACTAATTGGTAGAATATACGTGTAGGTTTTCATAAATAGTATTATTGTATAATAATTACATGTGGACATTTGTTGGTCTGTATCATAATTCTAGGAATCACATGTGGATTCCTATAGTTTTGCACTTTCATTTATTACGCACTTTTTAAGTGCTGTATATTTTGATTTTTATTTATTTTCGCATATTGTAAGCTCGAAAGAGCAGGGCCCTCGAACCCCTCGTGTAGTGTATTGTTACTGTCTTGTCTCATGTTCTGTCCCCCTTGCTACTGTACAGCGCTGAGCATACCCTTTGGCGCTATATAAATATACTGAAGATAATATTGTGTAACACAGCAGCTATTGTATAATAAGGGGATTACTAGAGCACAGGTGTTTTGGTTATATAGGAGTATATATTGTAGTGTTTTTTTTTTAATCATCAAAGTAGTTTTTTGCATTTGAAAAATATTAATTTTTGAAAACTCCATTTCGGTTTCGTTTTTTCGATCACGTCCATCCTGAATTTCTGATTTCAGCACCAGAATTTCCATTTTGGTGCACCATTAGTATCAGCTATGGGAGCACATGTGTATGCTCATTCCTGAGCCGCCCCCCTACTCACTGGCTGTGATTCCAATTACTCCCACTGCTATCGGAGCCAATGAAGGGGAAGAAAGACTCACATTGTGCACATCACTGGAGTGTGATCGGCAAAGTGGGGAGTGTTTGGGTTTTTTTTTTTTTTTTTTTTTTTACTTTAATGCATTAAATGTATTATTGAAACCCTTCTGCTTTAGAACCACTTTAAGAGCGATTGTGACCAGTGATTTTGCTGATGAATCTCGAATAACAGATCACTTAGAAATACAAGAACTTCCTTCAGCAGCAAATCCTTGTAACAAAAAGGAGGGAGGGGTGGAATTGAAGCAAGAAGATCAGGCTGAGAGGAAACAGTCCATGTGTCCACAGCCTGACTGCTCACGTGTTCCTAGTTTGAAAACAAACGTTCAAGAAAAGCTTTCCACCCCCAACTGATCTGTATACAAAGCAAGTGCAAATATTCCCCACATACAAAACCCGCCGGCGTGTGAAGTAACCGTATGTCCGGGCTGGTCATGAAATAAACAGATGTGCGGGGATTGAACGAAGTGTTGGAAAACTAGACAAAAGTTCTTTGTTTAGTGTGCTGCCCATCCATGCACAGCCCTATACAAACACAAGGCGCGGAGCTCCCAGTGCGGGAATCGGCTCCTAGGAAGGCACCAACACCGCCGCCCTGCCCCCTGAGGCAACAGGTTATTGTTATCGGCTACCGCTGAGCGCTCCAGCATGCGCCGCTACCGACGCTGGCCCTGGCTGCCCGCTTTGTTCCTCCCCTCTCACCTGCTTGGACAGATATTGGCTGAGCTCCGCGCCGCTCCTCTGAGCGATGATACCTAGTCCCGACAGGCTGAGCTGGAAGTGCTCCATGTCTGGAACGGGACCGAAGGGAAGGAAAAGGCCGCCACTCGGCCGCGAGCGTGCACTAGAAGCCCCAGCACTACTCCACACGTGGGGAAGGCACAAGCACAACGGACCACTTCCGGGAGCAAGAAGACGTCATCACCGGTGCGACAAAAACTGTCAGCGGGTTGTCTCGGCTATGTTTGATGAATCTCGTTGGCGCCAAAAAAAACATCAGCAGCTGGTGGCTGCAGTCACAAAGAGGAACTATTGTACTGAGAAAACCTCTGAAATGGCTAGTTACTTACTAATCATGCTTATGCAGTGGCTTCAATACTTGAGTCCCAGACCCTAAATGTGTATGTAGTTTAGGAATTGTGACTGCTTACTTTATGCTTTTCCTGGATCAGTAACCTAGACCAGTGTTTCTCAACCCTTTTTCAGGCAAGGCATCCTTTAGGCCGCATGCACACTGGGTGTACTTACATGGCAGTGCTAGCTGTAAAAACTGCAAGTTTTTTTAGCATTAGTGTTTTCCACACACAAATAATAAAATGCTAAAAAAAATGCTGTTTTACAGCTTAGAAACCTACTAGTTCTGGGGTTTTTTTTTCCAGCCAAAAAACGCTGATTAAAGTCTGTGTGCATGGACACATAGGATAACATACTGGTGAGTTTACTGGCTGTAGAAAAAAAAAGGCAGAAGCTGTAAAACCGTCCAAACTACTTGCCCTCCTCAGGATTTACCCCCCTTAATGACCAGGCCTCTTTTTGCTACTCTGCGATGCACTAATTCAACTGATAATTGCGCGGTCATGCAATGCTGCACCCAAACTAAATTTACATCCTTTTTTCACACAAATAGAGCTTTCTTTCGGTGGTATTTGATCACCTGTGCATTTTTTATTTTTCATGCTATAAACAAAAAAAGACCAAAAATTTTGAAGAAAAACTATATTTTTTTTTTTTTGGCTATAAAAAATATATAGTTAACTCAAAGTTAGTTATAAATTTAGGCCAAAATGTATTCTGCTACATGTTTTTGGTAAAAAAAAAATCCTAATAAGTGTATATTGCTTTGTGTGAAAGTTATAGCGTCTACAAACTATGGTATAGATACTGCAATTTACACCATTTGTTTTGCTATACAGCGCTGAACTAGTTTAATGGAATTCAATTTATGTACTTTTTTCACACAAATAGAGCTTTCTTTTGATGGTATTTGATCACCTGTGCGCTTTTTCTTTTTGGTGCTATAAAAAATTCTCTGTCATAAAAAAAATCAAAAAAAAATTTAACTTTCGTCATAAATTTAGGCCAAAATGTATTCTGCTACATGTTTTTGGTTAAAAAAAATCCCAATACGTGTATATTGATTGCTTTGTGTGTGAAAGTTATAGCATCTACAAACTATATGGTATAGATAATGGAATTTACACAGGTTTTACTTTCTGACTGCTTATCACATTTCTTGAGGTGCTAAAATACCAGGACAGTACAAACACCCCCAAATGGCCCGTTTTCGGAAAGTAGACACCCTAAGCTATCTGCTGAGAGGCATATTGAGTCCATGGAAGATTTATTTTTTTTCCACAAGTTTCTGGAATATGACAAACTTTTTTGTTTGTTTTTTTACACAAAATTGCCATTTAAATGATTTATTTCTCACACAAACCATGGATATATGTGGAATTACACCCCAAAATACATTCTGCTACTTCTACCGAGTATGGGGGTACCACATGTGTGCGATGTTTTGAGAGCATAGCCACATACAGGAGCCTGCAATCCAATGACCACTTCAACACCTGGAAGGTGCCTAACTTCCTCACTTCACGTCCTCACTACCTATCCGTTTCGGAGGCCCTGAAATATCAGGATAGCACCCCCCCCCCCCCCAAGTGATCTACTATTGGAAACTAGACACCCCAAGGAATTTAAAAAGAGGCATGGTGAATATTTTGCATTTCTCATTTTTTCTCACAAGGTTTTGAAATATAAAAAAGAAAAGAAAAAATATGTTTTTGTTTTTTTTCTTTTTTTGGCAACAAACAAAATCTGCAAAATGCTCACCATGCTTATCAAATTCCTTGGGGTGTATACTTTCCAAATAGGGGTCATTTGGGGGGGGTTTGTGCTATCCTGGCTTTCAGGGCCTCCGCAACTGTGATAGGTAATCAGTAAGTGTAATGAGGAAATAAAGCCCTTTAAAAGCTTGAAGGTGCTGATTGGATTTTGGGGTCCTGTACTTGGCTAGACTGCCAAAATGTCTCTCACATGTAGGTACGACGCGTCGGGGAGATTGACTTCACCCCCATACTCAGGAGAAGTAGCCGAATGTATTTTGGGGAGTAATTCCACATATATCCATGGCATGTGTGAGCAGTAAATCATTTAAATGACAATTTTGTGTAATTTTCAAAACTTGTGGTAAAAAAATAAATTCTTCTATTGATTCAACATGCCTCTCAGCAAGTAGCTATGGGTGTCTACTTTCCAAAAAGGGGTCGTTTGGGGGGTGGGGGCGTTTTATGCCCAGCATTAGAAGTTTATGCCACACATCACTCACTCTTTTAACAACCTGAAGATCAAGCCACTTCTGACACTTTTTGTTCACATGAAAAAAATCTGTATTTTTTGCTAGGAAATTAATTTAAACCCCCAAACATTATATATGTTTTTTTTAAAGCAGACACCCTAGTGAATAAAATGGTGGGTGCTACACTTGTTTATGTCACATAATACTCGTGCAGCGATTTTTCGAAAGCAAATTTTGTAAAAAATATATACTTTTTTTACTTTTAATGCACAAAAACACAATATATTGGCCAATTATTTGGTAAACTGTAAAAGATGATGGTATGCCGAGTAAATAGATACCAAACATGACATGATTTAAAACTGCGCATGCCCCGTGCAACGGCGACAAACTGCATACATTTTTAATATCCATAGGCAACCTTTTAAAAGCCTTTACAAGCTACCATTTTAGATTTACAGAGGAGGTCTAGTGTTAAAAATACTGCCCTTCATCACGTTCACAGCGATACCTCACATGCATTGTTTTGATTTTGATTTTTAATTATTTTTACACTGTCCCTTTTCAGGGTTTTTTTTAGCACTTTTAATGCTATCACAGGGAATGCAAATATCCCCTATAACTTCAATGGGCATTGTCATATATTCTTTATTTAGAAATCTGGGGTCTATCAAACTCTAGATATCTCCTCTGCCCTTACATTATCTAATCAAACCTAGATCGGTGTGATCAAATGCTTTCCCAATTTATAAATGGCGCTGTTTATATCCTGCGAAACTGAAGTGATGAAATGCTCGTAGCTTTCGATTTCTTAGACTATAGAGATGATTGTCACCATTCTGGTCTCCAATCAGCTATATGTTCAGCTGGCAGAAACTCCGGCTGCATTCTCAGGTTCCCCTGATGGCACAGGACTGCCCAAGAAGGCTGTGGAAGGCAACGGGAGAGGCATCATCTCCCGCTGCTTGTAAAAGCAGTCCTGCAGCTAATTAGCCACTATATTGCTTTTATATGACAGCCAAAAACGATACCAGGATGATGCCTGCTGCTGTAGGCATAATCCTGGTATAACCACTCAAAGTCCAGTGATGTACCAGTATGACGCTGGTCCTTCTTGGGTATATATGCTGTTTTTTTTTGTTTGTTTTTTTGTTTTTTTTCATGCAGCCTGTGAGCCTTGTATGTAGCCTATGGGGGCTGAATGAAAAAAAAGAGAAGAAATCGCTGCCAGAAAAAGTGTGTGGTATGCTCACCATTAGAATATACCACCCTGCATCCGCCCACTTCTAATGGTGGGCACACATTAGGTCACACAGTGCCACATGCGCCAGTTACAAGATTGTACAAATGTCTAAATAGTGGCACGCTTGAACAAAAATTGTCCACGTATAAGTGGTACCCCATGTGGAAAAAAGGATGACACCAAGTCCCAAACTATCTTGTCACTACTCCCCATGTAGTCTGGGCATCCAGGTGGCTCCACGTGACTATCTTTTCCCTCGTAAATCCAAAACTAAGTATAGCCTGTTGCCCTCTCACAGGTCTTCTACATCTTGACCCCATATCTGGCACGCTTGCAGGGGAGAAATTGTTTGAATGCAAGGGGGCTAGAAAAACTGATGAGGGACTCATCAACGCAGCTGTTTTGCTGGGGAGTATAGACATCTGCAAATTTTTGGTTAAGGTGATTTGCGAGGATCTGAATTTTGTGGAGCCGGTCAAATTCAGGGTCATCCCGAGGATGACAGAGTGTATTGTCATTGAAATGCAAAAAACACATTATACTCTCATATCTATGCCTGGCCATGGCAGTAGAGAACATGGGCATGTGAAGAATCGGGTCTGTGGACCAATACAACCACAATTAATTTTTTTTAGTAATGCCTATGTTGAGGGTTAGGCCTCATGCAGGCTCCACCTCCTTGGCAAACTCATGCAGGCTCCAACTCCGCAACATCTCAAAAATACATTCGTTCCTAACCCCAGACACTACTAAACAACTCGTTCACTCCCTTATTATCTCACGTCTGGACTACTGCAACTCCCTTCTCACCGGCCTACCTCATCACAGACTATCCCCGCTTCAGTCTATCCTGAACTCAGCGTCCAGACTCATCCACCTTACCAACCGCTCCGCTTCTGCCACCCCCCTCTGTCATTCCCTCCACTGGCTCCCGATTGCCCAACGCATTAAATTCAAACTACTAACACAGACATACAAAGCCATTCATAATGCTGCCCCAAACTACCTCACCGACCTGATACCCAAATACCACCCAACCCGTACTCTTCGCTCCTCACAAGACCTCCTATTCTCTAGCTCCCTGGTCTCCACCTCCCACGTCCGACTACAGGACTTCTCCAGGACTTCCCCCATCCTCTGGGAATCACTACCCCAATCCATCAGACTGTCACCTATCCTCCTCACCTTTAGGCACACCCTGAAAACCCATCTCTTCAGGGAAGCCTACCCTGCCCTTACCTAACAGCCAATCTCCTCCTCTCCTCCTGCCACTCTATCCCCCACAGCCACTTCCTCCTGTACCACTATCCCCTCCCTCCTAGATTGTAAGCTCGAAAGAGCAGGGCCCTTGACTCTCTCATGTTTTGTTTTGTTACTGTATTGTCTCATGTTCTGTCAACCCACTATAATGTACAGCGCTGAGCAAACCTTTTAGCACTATATAAATACTGTATAATAATAATAGACCCAAAAAAATTTAAATTTGGAAACTAATGGGTTTCCATGCGAATGGTCTGGCAAGGTTTAAATTTGGATTGGCAGCGATAAATTGTTGTGCATATAAATTGCTTTGATCCACAATCAATGCATACAGATATTCCGTAAAAAAAACAGCTCCAAAAAAATTAAGGGGAGTAGTTTAAATTTGCTGTTTCCACCTGAATTTCTGGTTGGGCAGTGAGTGGGGGAAGTACGTGTGCTGCAGAATTTGTGGGCTGCCAATCAGGACTTGCAAGCACATCCAGAAGGATACTAGGGGCTCTATGGGCCTGTGTGTGAATTCTTGGTAGTTGCGGGACAATATTTGTGCTCGCCACCACACCAGCTTTTACTGCACTTATGGGACTCGCCATGTCACCAAGTGATACTGCAGTGCTGGTATTATTATACAGGATTTATATAGCGCAAACAGTTTGCCCAGCGCTTTACAATATAATGGGAGACAATACAGTTCAATACAAGAGGGTTAGGAGGCCTGATCCTGGGAGCTTACAATCTAAGAGGTATGTGAAAGACCTAGATGTACTAGGCCACTAGTGCTCGCCAGTTCACCAAAAGGTAGCGTGGCAATAGTACTCTGCTGCATATGAGAGTCATCAAAATTTACCGACAAGTGCTAACAGAAATCAGGCCTGATTCTGCGAACACTGCGGTTTTGTGTGCAATGTATCAAGTGACAGTGACCTGCTGACACTGCACTTGCTGGAGGAGAAGGGGGGGGGTGGTAAGCGTAGGGGCTAAATGCAGGTGCAGGAGCTGATCCCTCTAACGCTGTGTTTTTGGGGACGCTATACTAATGTGAATGCTGGTATAGTGCTGATCTGATCAAAGATATTGATCCGTTCAGACACTATAATAGCAATGGAGGTTTGTTGTGTATGAGTGCGTTCCTGGCAATCAAGGGTTATATGTGGTTACTGGTGTACTAACGGGCAATCTGACGCAATCTGGGAGGGGCGTGAAAACCACAGGAGCGCGCGAATCCCGTATATATACTGTGTGTGTGTGTGTATGTATATATATATATATATATATATATATATATATATATATAAATATATATATATAAATATATATATATATAATGTGTGTGTGTGTGTGCGCGTGTGTGATTTTGCACACCCGTGCCGCCCTGTAGTAGTGTTTCTGCTACAGGGCGATCAGGAAGTAGTTACAGAAGCGGTTTATGATACGGCGGTGCGGTACTTTAACTGACAATTGCGCGGGTCATGCACCAAAATGAAATTTACGACCTTTTTTCACACGAATTGAGCTTTCTTTCAGTGGTATTTAATCGCCTGTGCGTTTTTTTTATTGCGCTATAAAAAAAAGACCAACAATTTTCAGAGAAAAAAAACAATATTTTGGACTTTTTGCTATAAAATATGTCCAGTAAAAAAATTTACAAATCAAATTTCCTCATAAATTTAGGCCAAAATGTATGTCTTTGCTAAAAAAAAAAATCCCTAAACGTGTAAATAAATTGGTCTATGTGAAAGTTATAGCGTGCACAAATGACGGTATAGATACTGGATTTTTTTTTTTTATACTAATAATAGAGGCGATCAGCGACTTATGGTAGTAATCAGCGACTTATGGCAGTGATTAGTGACTTATGGCGGAACTGCGGCGGACACTCTGACACTGGGGGAAACTGACTTGGGGTCACTGACATCCCCAGTGACCAATACAGTGATCAGTACAAAAAAAGAAACACTGACACTGTACTAATGGCACTGGGGAGGAAGGGGTTAACATTTTTAGGCAATCAAAGGGTTAACTGTGTGAGGGGAGTGTTTTACTAGGGGACAGGGGGTGTGTACTTCTCTGTTACACACTGTCCCAGAAAGCTAAGCTCTGCTCTCTGGAACAGTGTGCTGGAAAATGACAGGGAGGAGAGCTGCATCGAAAACAATGCAGCCGTCCTCCCTATCAGTGTTTTCCGGCAATCGCTGGGCTGCGGCGGGTAATCGCTGGCCTGGACCCCGTGATTGACGGCTGCGATTGGTGCCGCGGGTAGGGTGGTCACGCACGCTCCCTAGCAAGTAAACAGGATGACGTTTATAAACACGATCCTGCGCACAGGGGCCGCTTTGCTGCAGTATATGTACTGTGGGCGGTCCCCTAGTGGTTAAATTATGAACAATCTTGAAGAACCCTTTAAAATTATGGACAGTCTAAAGGCACCCCATTCTAAATTATAGAAAAAAAATATTCTAATAGTTTTACTTAATCCAGCAGCATCCACACATGTAGGCATCTAATGTTAGAGGAGATTTATTCGTCCCAAAGCAAATACACTTTTGCACACTCGTACTGACTAGTTTCTCTTCTCCCTCAGTTTCCCTCTATGACTCAGCTAATTTGACCCCAGCACTGACAGACAGGGGAAGGTCAAACAAGGATGCCGTGCAGGCGACTGACATCCTCCAGATCAACTGATGACATCATTGGTTGTTAGGACGGTGGAAGGTTGTAATTGTGCACAATGAAAACCTATGGCTTTGTGTAACTAACAGGCAGGCTCGATCAACCTGCTGTCTTGTTTACAATTTTTGGGCATTTTTTTTAGGCATTTTGTCAAGGCATCCCTAAAGAAATTTCAGGGCAACCTGGTTGAAAAAGGCTGACTTTAAAAGGCTTTAGGCTTCCTGCATACAAGGCATTTGCTTTGTGCCTCTGAATGCTTGGCAAGAGATAAACCGCTTAAAAAAGCATGCCTAAACAATGTATTGCACATGTGTAGATGCGCATCAAGCATTTGAGTGGTAATTAACTCCATTGGCTAGAATATGAATCTATTCTGGCCTTTGAAATGCATTACCGCTTGCCGCCCCATCACAGTAGATTTAGGGCTTGTTCAAACTTGCTCAAAATACTGATGCTCAATAAAACACACATATAGCGTTAATGTACGTTAATAGCAGCTTTAAAATCTCTCCCCCCAAATGTCTTATGCGTGTTTGCAGCACAGTTCAAATGCATTTTTGGCATGTTGAAACAACACCACAAACACCTATTAACTGTAATGTAGTAACGCACCACAAACACATGCTGGTGTGTTACCATAGACTTGAATGGAAGGAGTTAAAGTGCTTCAACTCCTTTCAAATTTGACATGAAGTTGAGTCAATTTTGAAGCAACACTTCCATGTTTTGATAATGTGAACAGCACTGTGTGCTGTCCATATTATCAATGGCATAGGTATTTGAGGAGCATCAAAAATGCCATTCAAACACCTGCTTTCAATACCAGCATGAACTAGGCCCTACTGTGACAGGGCATGCAGACCCAGCAAGTAAATAAACATTGCAAGCCTGCTTCTGGGTCTGGGGTGCACATGCTTCTACTCACTCTAATGGTAACTTGTAGCAATCGTGCACACAGAGATGGACGACGTCATCCATTTTGCTCCAAACCCCTCCATCTTGTATCTCTCTCTCCAAATCAGATTCCTCCAATATCCCCCCCTCCCTCTCTGTTGAGTGACATGTGGTCTGTTTGATGACAGAGATCACAGGCAGCAAACTCCTTGGGAGGGCATCATGGCTATAAACCTCACTAGCTGGTGCCCCTATGTCTGCGAGACTCTTGCTGGAGAAGGGATCGTAAAACCATAAACCCAGCCCGCACGGAGCTTCAAAGACATTCCAGGTAGTCGTAAAAACAGACTTACATTTTAAAAACTCACTTTTCCATATAATTTTATATCTTCAAATAGGACATAATTACATAAACATGGAGCACATATTCGGACAGCTCACTTTAATACAAATCGTTTGGTATATTACATCCCCTAGCTGAGATCAACAGGAGAGCAGAAAATATCTCCTTAACCATCCCAGCAGCTTTTTAATGCAAACTAAGAACACCTGCCTCTGAAGAGCACTACTGTCAGGGATCTCCTCGATCCCCGCCGCGTTGGGCCCGGCGCAGGCGCACTGCTCCACCCAGTACACGGGCACTAGGTCCGGGCCGGCCGCGGCGTTCGAGTTCGCGCATGCGCAGTAGAAGCCGCGGCCGCCCGCTGGGCACCAATGGCAGCGCAGGGCGGGATATTTAAAGGTCCCTGAGCTGTCATTTCGTTGCCTTCTGGTCTTACCTGCTTCCTGTGTTCCTGTACCTGTGCCTAGTAAGTTATTGACCCGGATTACTCTTGACCTTGCTGATTTCTCCTGCCCAGACCCTTGCTTGCCTGACCTCTCTCCCTGGATGCCCCTTATTAGATCTGACCTCCTGTTGCTGACCTGGCGTGTGACCCGACGATTCTCTGCCTGCTCCCTTGTACCTTACCGTCCTCTACATTACCGACTCGGCCTGTCTGACTACGCACTTGCTCAGCCATCCATCCACCCATCCCATCGGGGTCACCCGACCTCCTCACATCTGGCTCTCCCTGGTTGGAACCCCTGGCGAACACCCACTACCACTGACAGGTGTGCTCAGTAGAGGCGACCTGGTCTCGGGGTACTACAAGTCCATCCCCACCATCAGGGGCCCTGGTGAACAAGTACCCTGGGCTTAGACTCCGCACTCTGGGCACACCTGACCAGTGGAGTGCTAGTGGTGCCGCTCGGCGGTCCCTCACAGTACCAGAAGGCCATGACTGAGCCTCGAGGAGGACTCTCCCCGTTGGACGAGGTTTGCAGGCACCTGGCTACCCTGACGCAAGCTGTAAACACATTACAGGACAGATGTCTGCAGATCGAAAATCGGTTTCAGGCCTGCACCATATCTGTTCCTGTTTCACAGGCCCCGGCTCCTGTACCACCGGTCGCAGCAGCCCACGAGCCGGCCCTGGGCCTCCCACATCACTCCCTATGGCGGAACCCCGAGTACCCTTACCCGAGCGCTTCCATGGGGATCGCACACGCTTTCGGTCATTCCGTGACTCCTGTCTGCTCTATTTTGAACTACAGCCACGGACCTTTTTGACAGAATCAGTGAAAGTGGGGTTTGTTGTCTCCCTGTTGCAGGGTGAACCCCAAGACTGGGCCCACCGACTAAGGGGAAACAATGACCCTCACCTGGTTACGGTCGACAGCTTCTTTAACGCTATGGCCATCCTATATGATGACCCACAACGGGCAGCCTCGGCCGAGGGCCACACTATACGCACTCCGACAAGGTCAGCGGGCGGCTGAGGAATACGCCTCTGACTTTAGGCGCTGGATGGGTGACACTCGTTGGAACGAGTTCGCACTTTTGCACCAGTTTCGTATGGGCCTATCAGAGGCTCTGAAAGACGAGCTCGCCCGGGTGGAGGTGCCCGAGACATTAGAGGACTTGATTGCACTCACCATCAAAATTGACCGTAGACTACGGGAGCGCAGATTGGAGAGGTCTGGTCAG